ATGCATCACTATAGATGGTAAAACCTTCATCTCTGAACGGAACTATAAGTACTGGAGCAGACACTAATCGACTCTTTAGATCCTGGAAACTCTTCTCATAATCATCAGACCATTCAAATTTAACCCCTTTTTGTGTTAAACGAGTCAAAGGCGTAGAAATTCGGGAAAATCCTTCAACAAACCTTCTATAATATCCTGCTAGACCCAAGAAGCTACGAATTTCAGTGACACTAGTAGGCCTATTCCACTCTACCACAGCCTCTATTTTCTTAGGGTCAACAGACATCCCGTCTTTAGATATCACATGACCCAAAAAAGATACACTCTCTAACCAAAATTCACACTTCTTTAATTTAGCAAATAATTTCTTCTCCCTTAATATCTGCAACACTATTCTCAGATGTTCTTCGTGTTGCTCTTTACTTTTCGAGTATACAAGAATGTCATCTATAAAAACTACCACAAACTGATCTAAGAAGGGTTTAAATACTCTGTTCATTAAATCCATAAAAGCTGCAGGCGCATTGGTCAACCCAAACGGCATCACTAAAAATTCATAATGCCCATACCTAGTTCGGAAGGCTGTCTTAGGTATATCTTCCGCCTTAACCTTCAACTGGTGATAGCCAGAACGAAGGTCAATCTTAGAAAAGACTTGTGCTCCTTGCAACTGATCAAATAGGTCATCTATCCTAGGCAAAAGATATTTATTTCGAATTGTCACCTTGTTCAACTCTCGATATTCAATGCAAAGGCGAAAACTACCATCATTCTTTTTCACAAAAAAAAACAGGCGCACCCCAAGGAGAAACACTAGGCCGAATAAAGCTCTTATCTAGTAACTCTTGTAATTGTTCCTTCAACTCTTTCAACTCTGCTCGGGCCATCCGATACGGTGCCTTGGAGATAGAACCCGTGCCGGGTATCAATTCGATGGCAAATTCAATCTCTCTATCTAATGGCAACCCCGGTAACTCTTCAGGAAAAACATTAGGAAATTCCTTCACAACTAGAATATCCTCTAACTTCAATTCAGTCTCATGGGTATCTCTCACAGAAGCTAAATAGCCCTCGCAACCATTCCTTAACAACCGTCTAGCTTGCAAAGCCGAGATTATCAGAAGAGGAGTGTTAACTCCACTACCCATAAAACAAAATTCTGGTTGATTAGGAATCTGAAATATTACCCTTTTGCCTCGACAATCAACAGAAGCATAATTGGTTGCCAACCAATCCATTCCAAAAATTATGTCAAAGCCTCGCATATCTAAAACAGTTTAGTCTACAAGCAATTTCATATCATCTATACTAACCACACGAGATTTGCAAATTAAGTCAGCAACCATAACACCTCCTATCGGGGTTTCAATACATAAGTCGATCTCTCTAGAGACACATTTCCATCTATGTTTCTCAACAAATCCCATAGATACAAATGAATTTGTAGTGCCAGAATCAAATAACACATGTGTATAAACAGAAGACACTAAAACAGTACCTGACACCACCGTGTTGGAAGTCTGAACATCTTGTTGCGTGAGTGCGTACACTCGACCCTGAGTCTTTGGCTTATGACCTCCATTTTTCTTTTGATTTCCTGAAGACCCTCTGTCTGTTGATGTTCCTTTATTTGTCCATGCTTTCTGTTCAGTCTCACGCCCCTTCCGGTTAGGGCAATCAACTATCCTGTGCCCCTGTTGCTCGCAAGAGAAACAAGCCCCAGTATTCTAGCGACACTCACTATCCCGATGGAACCCATTACATCTAGTGCACTGTATCCGATCATTCTTCTTATCCACACTACCACCCATAGTTCGACTTTCCCAACTCCCAACTGAAGAAGTGTTTTGTCTCTTAGCATTGCCCTTCGAACTGTTGTTGATTTGAAAGTTGGTCAAACTAGGTCTCTTCTTATAATTCTCTTCTTTCTCTTCTTGGGCTCTAGTGAGGCCATTCTCAACCAACAATGCCTTATTCAACACTACTCCAAAAGTAGGTAACTCGAAAGGAACCATCTGTTGCATAATGTTCGTTCTTAGCCCGCCTTCGAACTTTCGTGCTCTGCTATCCTCGTTTGTTTCAAATGCTGATGCAAATTTAGACAACTTCGTAAACTCGACTTCATATTCTGTAACCGTCTTATTCCCTTGCTCTAACTTTGAAAATTCCCTCTGTTTTTGTAGATGAACACTCCTAGGGAAGTATTTCTCATTGAATGCATTCTTAAATCTTTCCCATATATAGGGGTTGGCATCATGCTCATGTATGCGCTTCACCATCTGCCACCAATCATTAGCTATCCCTTGTAGCATAAACGTAGCATAGGTTACCTTCTGATCATCCGTACACTCAAAAACGGGAAACAACTTTTCCATTTCTGTTAACCATTTTTCAGCCTCCAAAGGGTCTGTGGCTCCATCAAATGCCAAGGCTATCTTTTTAAACTCAGTAATGTTACAACGTGGCCTTGGTTGTGGCCCAACACCTGGCTGCATCCGCTGTTGTTGCTCCATAAATCTAGTCAAGTTATTCCCTATGATGGTTTGTTGTTGCACCACCTCGGCCAAAGTCTGAAGCACTTGAACCATTCCAACTGGATTGGGAATTGCAGCTTGTTCTTGTTGTCCCAACTCTTGCCCCTAATTTCCTCCGACTGATTGAGAACCATAACCATTATTAGTCACATTCCCTCACCGATTGTTATTACCAGTCCGTTGATTCGTTTGACCCTGGCGTGTATTCCTAGCCATATTTGCCAATGTCTCCTCATGTTCCATTGCAACCTAAATGCATCAATAATAAAACCTCATCTTATTCTATTCTCAAGTCCTTATAACATGTAAATAAAACTAACATTATACCAAATTATAAGTGTTCCCAGTTCTACATTTACCGAATCTCACCACTATTCTATACCACCCGTTAAAATTGCAACCTGGCTCTGATACCACAAAATTGTTACACCCCAAGCTCTGTGACAACGCCGCACACTCATTTAAGTGAGCATGCAAGGCTAAGAGTCCAACACATAACCAACAATGTAAAATACTCAAATTAAATCCTTAATTATCATAATGCTATAATCCAAAGAAAAATTGATAATTCTTATCATATGAAATTGTCCACCACGTCCACTAATATAATCCATTAACAAAATAATAAACCAAGTACTAAAATCATAGTCATACTCGCGTCACTTCTACAAGTAAAAACCCCGAGCAGCTCTACTCCTCAGAATCTGAAAAAAAATAAATAAGGATAAGCTAGATAGCCCAGTAAATAACCAACCATCAATGCTAGCTAGATCAAATATACAAAAAAAAATAAAAATAAATAAATAATAGTCGATAACCAATAAATATAATTTTCGCTACAAATCAATATATCAACAATTATTTATACGGTGGTTTCATAACTAAAAATAAACAATATACAATACATTTTAATTGAAAAGCCAACAAGATAATTCAAAGTAAATTCACTGTTCAAATCGATAGTTCGATATTCAGATGGTTCAATGATTTGATTCACAAAACCCAAGTCTTGGTGACTACGGTCACTTAGCCTGTGACAAGGCCCAGAACCACACATAGGCCGGTGGTAAAACCCCAAAAGAAACTAGTTTTTGTGCCAATAAATAACCCCCATTGGCTAGAGTCCAAATCGTAGTCAGATTAGAGTGATGTTCAAAATTCAAACAATACACAACTTTTAAATAAAACATTCGATATTTTCAGAATAAACGTTTAGTACAATTTTTAGAATAGTTCCATAAAATATTCAAAACAATTTTTATAATAATATTTGATGCTGTTTTATACTTGACCCATATTTTATTTTTAAGAGAACATGAAGGCTATAAATAAATACTTATAATTTTAAAACATTCAATAGAAATAAAAATGTACCAACCATGATAGAGGGTTACTTACCTCAAACGTTTAAAATAATATTCTACCACACTACCTCCAGACACTCTGCTCCATTAATTCAATCACACAAACCTAATAAATAGAACCTCAAATAAATTAATACTTTGATGTCTTTCACACATCAACAAGAACCCATTATATATATATACTTAAAATCCAAGAGACACTAAATCAATCCACCTAATTCAATAGCCAAACATACCTTACCCAATGTACAAAACCCAAAAGTCAAAACACACCCACCCAAATTGCTCCACTTTTTCTACTCTTTACCTAGACCACACACACCATATGTGAGTCCATCCATCAACATCTCAAAACCAAATAGACACCTACAGGTTACAAAAAAAGGTTCGGCCCTTTTTTTTTCTTTATCAAACGAAAACTAATAACTTGTTGGTGATACAAGAATCTTACCCCAGTCAATGGTTGAATACTTGAACCTCTCTCTTTGTTTTTCTTTATATACTTTTTCAAACCCTTGTTGCCTTTAAAACCTTTCACAACAATTCACCAGCCTCTGTTTTGTTTTTGTTTTTTTTTTCCTCCCAGACTTGAAGCAAAACATGTAGGTTTATTAACCTAGTTTCTCAAAATTACAAAATTACCCATATAATATCATCTCATAACTAATTCCTTGATATTACTAAATGACCCACATAAATTAATTTAATTACTAATCTATCCAAAAATAATTATATACAAAACTTGGGTTTTACAAAATTCTCGTCATATAATAGGAAATCAGACCCACTAACACATATCAGCCACTATCGGTAGATGATGTCCTTGTGGAGCCGAGATGAGGCACTAATATGCAAAGTCTTTCCATCCAACCCGGAAGAATTCGGACTCCGATGGTTCGATCATCTCCCTGCTAGATTGATTTACAATTGGAAGCAGCTCTCTGAAAAGTTCTTGGCCAGATTTGTTTCTAACACCAAAATCCCAAAAGAGCCGGACACCTTGTTCGGTTTCTGAAAGGAACAAGAGGAAACACTGTGTAATTATACAAGAAGGTATTGGGGAAAGTATAATGATTTGGAGGAAAATGTCTGCAGCGAACAGATGGCTGTAATGTCTTTTAAACATGGACTGCGTCCGAAAAGCAAGTTGAGACAATCACTTACCAAATGCCCAGCCATAGCACTGGAGGATTTACGTGCCAGGATTGAGCAGTACGCTTACCTTGAAGATGATCAGATCCCCATCGAGGTGGCATCGGCCGAACAGACAACTCGAGAAAATAGAAGAAGGGCAGATCGAGGGGAACCCCGAAGAGCGTTGAATGAAGTAGACAAGTCTAAATCCCATAAAGCAGTTGTTATAGTCTTTAAGGAACCTATCTATCGTATTATGGAAAAAATCAAGAGAGGGTTGTTCTTTACTTGGCCACCAGTTCAATGTAATCAAAAGCTCAGATCCACCCATCATCAGGACATGGGGCATATGACTCAGAACTGCCGAACATTGAAGCAACACCTGGAGGACTTGGTAGCTGCTGGGCACCTCTAAGAATACATTGATCCAGACAAAGTGGTGACTGAGCAGGGGAATTCCCCACCAGAACCAAACGCAGAGCATCATCCTTGATTGGTCATAAATGTAATTCATTGCACAACTAGTCATGAGCGAGAAGAGAGACTTCATGAAGAAATTACAAAAGCTATGTAGATTCAGCAAGTTATGTCAGTGGGTCCAGCACCGAAAAAGATACAAATAATACCTAAGACTCCCTTATGTACTATTTCATTTACTAAGAAGGACTTAGAAGGAATTCAACACCCACATACTGATGCTTTGATTATAACTGTGGGAATTGGGAAAAGATTTGAAGTGAAACGAGTCTTGGTAGACCAGGGTAGTGCAGCGGATATATTGTATTACGACTTGTTCAGGAAGCTCAGTCTCTTTGAGTAGCACCTCACCCCAGCAACAGCTCTGTTGGCCGGCTTTAATTCGCAACCTGAATGGCCACTTGGCAAGATAGTGTTGCTAGTTGTGGCAGGGACAAAGACCTTTCAGATAGAATCCCTGGTTATTAACACACCGTCTCCTTACAATGCAATACTTGATCGGCCTTAGATTCATCAAATGGAAGCAGTCCCCTCAATCTACCACCAACTTATCCACTTCCCGACGGAACACAAAGTAGAACATATCTCAGGGGACCAAGTTGCATCCAAGCATTGTTTCATGGTAGCCATGAAGGCTAAACAGCTCTGCAATCAAGTTCAGACAGTTGAAGTAGCAGAATAGCCAATCTTAGAAGACGTCGGAGGAACCCTAACCGAGAAGATAGTAGAGGATCTGGAAAAGTTTTAGTAAAGGAAAATGACCCAGAAAAGTACTTCCTTATCGATACCTCACTAAGCGTTGATGAGAAACTTCAGCTGCTGAATTTGCTGAGGGACAATATGGTGGTATTCGTATGGTCAACATATGATACTTCGAGGTTGAATCCATAATTTGTTTGCCATAAACTCAACGACAACCCTTCCGCTCGGCCCATTGTACAGAAAAGTCGAAGATCTTCAGTTGAGCAACCGAAGCAGTAATTGCAGAAGTTGACAAACTCCTAGCAGCGGGGGCAATCCGAGAAATTCAGTAGCCGCAGTGACTATCCAACACAGTCGTAGTCAAAAAGAAAAATGGAAAGTGGAGAGTTTGCGTCGACTTTACTTGTCTCAACAGAGCTTGTCCAAAATACATCTTTTCTCTGCCTCGCATAGACCAGCTGGTAGACTCTACAGTGGGGCATGAGCATATGAGCTTTCTAGACGCCTACAGCGGCTATCACCAGATACCGTTGTTCGGCCCGGATCAAGAGAAGATAGTGTTTATTATTCCAAGAGGCACCTATTGCTATAAAGTAATGTTGTTCGGTCTTAAGAATGCCGAAACAACCTACCAACGAATGAAAACTTGAATGTTCAAAGAGTAGCTCAGTCGGACTATGGAAGCCTACATAGATGATATGGTAGTAAAAAGCAAGCTTGCTACAAACCACTTCACAGATCTGAGAGAAGTTTTCGACATCCTGAAAACCTATAAGCTTCACCTCAATGTCTCGAAATACGCCTTCGGGGTAGGAACAGGGAAGTTCTTGGGATACATGGTGACTCACAGAGGAATCGTGGCAAATCTGGATCAAATCAAAGCAATACAAGAAATCAAGATACCGACAAAAGCCAAAGAACTGCAGAAACTAGCCAGAATGGCAGCAGCCTTAAACCGATTCATCAGTAAGTCATCGGATCAGATGAAGCCTTTCTTTCAACTGTTGAGAAAAAAGTCTATGTTCGAATGAGGCCCTAAATACACTGAAGTGTTGTAGGACCTCAAGAAATATCTCAGTACACCACCTCTCTTTTAAATTCCACAACTAGGGGAAGAGTTGTACCTATATCTGGCGGTCTCAGATCATGTGGTAAGTGCAGTACTGATTCGTGAAGTTAACATGGAACAGAGACCAGTGTACTACATCAGCAAGACTCTCCTAGACGCTGAAACACGGTATCTATTGCTGGAAAAGTTAGCTTATGCTCTGTTCATCGCCTCCAGGAAGCTACAACACTACTTCCAGGGTCATATCATCAATGTCCTCACTGAATTCCCCCTCAGATCTGTCTTCAGCCAAGCTAATTTCTCGGGTTGAACAGCGAAATGGACGGTTGAGCTTGGTGAGTTTGACATATGGTATCAGCGTAGAACAGCAATCAAGGCCCAGGTCTTAGAGGATTTTGTCGCCGAATTCACGCTCGCTCAGAGCATTAAACATCAGAACTCTAGCTCAATACAGATGCCACGCACCACGGAACTGAGTAAACAATGTGCTTCAGAAGTATGATGGAAACTCTTTATTGGGGATATTTGGCAGCTTTACGTTGACAGATCATCCAATAACCTAGGATTGGGGGCAGGAGTGGTACTTATATCTCCAGAAGGATTCATCTGGGAGCAGGCTCTAAAGCTTGGATGGAAAGCCTCTAACAATGAGGCAGAATATAAAGCCCTACTAGCTGGATTGCGTAGTGCTGAACACTTCAGTGCAGATTAACTCCTGGTTTTTAGTGATTCTCAGTTGGTTGTCAATCAACTCACTGGGGTCTATGAAGTAAGAGATGAAAGAATGGCCATGTATGCAAACAAGGCAAGAGAAAAAAATTCCAATCCGTACGAGTGGAATGGATCAATCAAGACAAAAAACAGTCATGCCGATGCCCTTGCCTACCTTGGCTCATCAGTAGATACTAAAGATGCTAGAAAGTTTGGGTTGAGTTTGTGCTAGAACCGAGCATTGCATCTCCAGATCCGGTTCTCTGCACTAAACTGGGACCAAGCTGGATGGATCCAATACTTGTTTTTCTAAAATCAAGCACTCTCTTTCGAAGACAAGAAAGAAGCTAATAAAATTCGGCACCAATCAGCTTGATTTTGGATTTCACCATCGGGGAAATTGTACTGACACTCCTACCTTGGCCCTTATTTGCTATCTGTGTATCCAAATCTAGTCGAGAATGTTCTATATGAAATTCACAAGGGGATTTGTGGAAGCGTCATTGGTGAAAAGTCATTGGCACACCGTGCTCTCACTCACAGGTACTGGTGGCCACAGATGTAGCAAGATGCACAACAGTACGTGTAGAAATGTGATAAGTGTTAGCGATTTGCTCCGCCAATTCATCAGCCAGCCAAAAATTTTACTCCGCTTACTAGCCCATGGCCTTTCGTTCAGTGGGGGTTAGACAGCATTGGACCTTTGGCATGGGAGACTCAAAACAGATGCTTCTTCATCACTGTAACTGACTACTTCACTAAGTGGGTGAAAGTTGAAGCCTTGGCAAGCATCAAAGAAGCAGATACAAAGCGGTTTGTTATGAGGAATGTCGTGGTTTGTTTCGGCATCCCACGGGTACTGATTGCAGACAATGGAACGTAGTTCGACGGAAAGGTTTTCGGGAAGTTCTGTGCCGATCTCAAGATTGAATATTGGAATTCGTCTCCAGGCTACCCATAGAGCAATGGGCAGGCAGAGTTGTCAAACAAGACCATCATTAACGGGGTAAAAAAGCGGCTTGAAAGTGCAAAAGGCAAGTGGGTCGAAGAGTTGCCCCATGTATTATAAAACTATCGAACCACAGCACAACATTCAACGGTGGAAACACCCTACTCCTTGACGTACGGAATGGAGGCTGTTATTCCACTCGAATTCGGTCTCCAAACCCTCCGATCGGAATTGTTTAAAGATGCAAATAATGAGGAAGCTATAACACACGCTTTAGACATAGCGAAAGGTCGAAGAGAAGCAGCACTGATTTTACTGGTCGCCTATTAGGAACAGCTTATCAAAAGTTTTGATAAGAAAGTTTTCCCAAGACAATTCATAACTGGAGAGATGGTTCTGAGGAAAGTCATGGACCAAAAAAAGGTGTCTGGTGAAGGGAAGTCAGGACCTAACTGAGAGGGTCCGTATAAAGTTACAGTTGTAGCTGGGAACATAGCATACTACTTGGAGGATCTCAAGGGCAAAGCTATACCTCGGCCCTAGAACGTAGCCAATGTTAAGAAATACTATCAATAGACATACCTCCAAAATTTGTCCATCAAGTGTACAAGCATTTATTTGTTGCTTAATGAGAATGCTTCTTCACTTCTTTGAACTTTTTGTTTTTAACACTTATACAGCTTTGAGGTCAGAAAAGATTATTTTAATCTAAGCCTTTGGGGCATGTTTACCAAACGGACTTAGCTTTTGTAGCGATCTCAGTTTGACCAATCTCTTGTGATGTACCAGACTCGGGTTTGTGTTGTTTGAATGGTGGTTCATGTCGTGTTTCCCTTGTCTTCCCCTTATTGTTGGTTATTGGGTTGTAGTTATGTGTTTGGAAAAGGTTGGTTGCTTGTTCTTCCAAACTTTTAGTTGCCCAGAATTTGGCTCTTCTGCTCGAGCGAGTCTTTCTACGCTCGAGCGGGCTTCTAAAAATTTGCTCTACGCTCGAGTGGGCATTCGGACGCTCGAGCGGGGTCTCTATCTGCAAAATGTACTAGAGGAGCGTATTTTACGCTCGAGCATAGAGTTTCACACTCGAGCGGGAGTCAGTGTCTGACGCTCGAGTAGGGCTTTCTACGCTTGAGCGGATCGTGTTTTATCAGTTCGAAAATGTGACATTTCAATTCACTTTTTTGCAATCCTCTCTCTCTCTAAAACTCTCCAAGATCCAGATCTTGAGCTTCTCTCACTATAGATTAGGTTCTTTCTTTGATTTCTCTAAATCCATTAGGATTTTGGCTATAGTTCCTTCATCAAAGTTGTATAACTTCTCGAGGGCTTCGTTGTGCGCGGTGGAGATCGAGCTTCAACACCGTAAATTTGGGGTTTCATCTCTATTCTTCTTCAGTATTTGAGGTAGGGATTTTCTTTGAGTGTATATATGTTTTTGCAAGATCTAAATGATTTTCGAAATCATCTTCTGATTAGTTTTGAAAATTGATTGTTGATTCAAGAAGATGAG